TCTCCTTTTTTGAAAAACATAGGTTCGACCTCCTTGGTCGGGGGTGGACGCCTCATGGCATAACCTAATTGGCAAAGAGAGAGTACTGGATTGTAGTTGATAACCCCTTTTGTTCCCATGAGTGGAACATTAGAGAAACCTGCACAGTGAGAGATGACTTCGGAGCTGTCCACCTTAAGTTTGTACCATTGGATGTCGAAAGAGGTGAGCGTCATCACTTTGGATGCCCACGAACGGGGATCTTCTTTGAATGGCCCTTTGGTGGGTAACTGTGCCATGAACCATTTGTAAAGCATAGGTGTACAACATACCACTACCCCTTTTTTCCCATGCCTGGAGTGGATGGCGTGGTAAGTATCTGCTAATAGCATGGGTATAGGATTCTTATTCATGAAGACGCAAAGAGAAGCCAAGTCCACGATTTCTTTAATCTCAGGGAATAGGACAACTCCGTAAATAATGGCAGCCAACAGAGCATAATAAGCATCCCAATTTCCCATGTTCGCCATTTCCTTAGCCTTACTTGCCAAGAAGTCTGCAGGAAGACCACAAGTGACTTTGTTGCGTCTCCATTTCCCTTTTACATCGTTAAGGCTCAAATAAAGAACCTTAGAAATAGCCTCAAAGTTAGGCTCAATAGGGACTCGAACAAATGGAACATGACTGGTGAGCTTAATGTGGAGAAGATGAGCATACTCCTCCAGAGTAGGTGCTAACTGGTAGTCTTGAAATGTGAAGCAACGCAACTCTGGATCATAAAATTGTAACAAAGTTTATACAACCTTGTCGTCAACCCGAGCATCCAATAAAGATAGGAGATTCCCATATCTTTCACCAAAAACACCCATTTGTTGACAATTCATGAGGTCTTTGAGCTCTTCAAGAGAGGGCCAAATGCTAGGACGGAACTGATAGCTGAATTTATCCCTCTTTGTCTTTAGGGTGATATCAATGTTGTTTTCCATTATTTGGAGGAAAATGAAATCCTGGAGATATCCTGGAAATGACAATGCGTATGCGAATTAATTATCATATATATTTTTTTTGAAAAGTAAATATGCTATGATGTGTGTGCAAGTGATCATGGGGTTACTACTTCCATGATACTGATTTCTGTTGTACTGCCTCTTCATATTCTTGTTAATACCGAGATTATAGGTCTGAAACGTGACCGGAAGAAATCCATGAAGATCATAGATGGGTCCTCAAAAAATAAATCTGAGAACCTCATAATTGTAGGCAGAAATCCAGGGCATAACCAAAAGTAACCGTCTGAACATAGTCACCAACTGTACCTGTAATAATAATTCCCTCCCCACTCACGTGTGAAGACTAGGTCAGGGTGAGATAATGGTAACTCAAAAATCACGGGTCCACCTGAAAGTAAAATCATCGCAACACAGACGTGCATGATGAAAGTACCTCCAATTGAACCTCATCCGAGCGTGGTATATGATATGACTACACTAATTGGACCACGTGCTATAGCCGTCATGCCCCCACTCTATTCCTAGGTGTCCCAGTGCACTTTGGCCTAGGTACTGGGCCTTTTACCTCAATAGTAACATCCCCACCTAAACAAGAAGCAGATCCAGTACAACAGCAGTATATGGAAGACAGGAAAGTGCAATACATGCATATGCACAAATATATTTAAGATGAACGAATAGACGAAAAGCATAAAAATAAACACCCAAAGAAAAGAAAACAAGAGCTAGGAGAGACTCCGGGATGGACCAGCATTTGGTCGACCTCTTCCCCAGTGAAGTCGCCAGCTGAAACAACCGACTGAAAAATCATCAAACAATGAAGTCGCCATAGAACGTCTTTTATCCCACATGTAGGGAAAGGTAAACATCGAGAAAACCTAATAAGGGAGAAATCACGGTCTTGCGACCGAGAGATAAGGGTAAGGGAGTCTGTTATGCGAGGGGAAGGTATTAGCACCCCACACGCCCGTAGTACTATACAGTATCCATTCTTGTTGTCTATCTTATGGGTGTATTCAATCTATGCTTATTGTTTACTATACTACTGGAGGGAGTTTGCATGCAAAAGAAATGAGAAAAGAATGTAGGGAAAATAAAATTGTGCTTGTTCGGTCCCTACCCCAATGCCTATGTATCCCTTTTAAGGAATCAGAGCAGCCGTAGTTCGGCTCATATGTTTTTGTTGGTTTGTATTTTTTTTATGAACAATATTAATTTCGCCTTCTGCCGCAACTCGACCTTTGGAGACTTACGCGTCAGCACAGAAGTGAATTAACATATTCTTTCTAAAAAGTGTTTGGAGAAAAAGTGCTTGGGCGCATAAAAAGGTTTGAATTTGTTTGTTTGTAATGAATGATATTAATCTCGCCTTCTGCCGCAACTCAACCTTTGGAGACTTACACGTCAGCACAGAAGTGAATTAACTTATTCTTTTGAAAAGAGTTTTTGAAAGAAAGGCTCGAAAGCAAAAAGAGTTTGTATTGGTTGGTGTTTTTGCTTGTAGATAATAACTAGTTAATCTCAAGGGAGATATTTTAGTCATTTCTCTACTTATTCATGAAATGATTCTTTGAGATTTGAACCATGCCAAGGCTTAGAATGGAAAAATGATAAGATCGAGAAGAGACCCGCTTACCATCTCCCATGTTCAACAAAGGCACGATTCCCATCAGTAGTTTTAAGTATTTTGAGGTTTGTAAAAAAAGGAGTTTTTGTTTTAAATGCATATGCAAAAAGGAAAGTCAAAAGGAGACTAACCTACATCTATCCCTAACGTTATTATACTTCACACAATCTACGGGAATAGATAAATGCGGGGTGAAAATAGAAAGAAAATATACCAAACGAGTACTAGTCCGTAGAGCCAAGCAGAAAAAGAAAAGATACTCGACGATCTCGTGAGTTGTTAGCATCAACAAAGAAAAGAGTTAGAAATCCAATACTCGGAATGAGTGTTGAAGCATCATCGATGTGAAAATATGTCACACTCAAAATTTCAAGCGTATCTGCATATCGCCTAATGAACCTACATAAGATTTAAATCTCAAGAAACAAAGGTGAATCATGAATTTCAAGTATAATCGGGTAATCGGGATTTACTTCCTAAAATCACATAAAAACTAACAAATTTTTATATTTGACTTTATTATTTTTATCAAGTGAGAGAAAGAAGAAAAGAAAAAAAAATCAACAAATCTAAACAATTCACAAAATTATTTAAAAGGAAAATATTGAAATAATAAACTCAGGGGGTATTATATTACAGTCAGGGGGTGCTGAAGTAATCTGATACTAACCCAAACCAAAAGAATCCAATGCTCCTTTTATTCATCAGGGTACTAGGCCCACTAATGTAGAATCCAACAGAAGGTGTTTTCTATGTCAATGGTCCAAAAATAGGCACAAGCAGGCCTATGAGGTGCAAGCCCGGTCCACTCAATAGATTTTTATCATTAATATTAAAAAGAAACAAAATCAATGAATAAAGAAATTACAGAACTGAAAACGGTGACGTTTTGCTCACACAACAGTCTATTCCCTCTCATCTTCCTTATTCGCCCTTATTCAACAAAGTTCGCCGTCATACCACCACCGTCAAACAACAACCAGCAATTCCCAAATCGTGAACCGTTAAACACCAAACTCAATCAGAATCGTGCCCTGATTCCTAATCCTAAGCTTTTTTTTCTCAAATTTCACTCGTATCAACCTAAATCTACAATCTCATAAACCCTAAAAATTGAAAAAAGGGAAGGAACCAAATGCCGAGGACGCACGTAAAGCCCTAAGAGGAATTGATGGCTACATAATAGTGATACAAACTGCTACAAGAATGAAGAAATGAAGTAAATCGCAGCTTACATAGCGGAGAAATTTTGATGCTTCTTCGACGGCGCCGGTAGCATAAGAACTCCAGAGGATTTCAGGTAACTCTAGTTATTCTTCTTGCGTGTTTGATTCTTCTGCTTGCGCATTTTTCTTCTGTTTCTTGTGTTCTCTACTCATCTTCTTCTTCTACTCCATTTTTATCGTGTTTCTGTGTTGTTTCGTGATCACAATAGGAATACGAAAACCAGAGGGGAAGTTGTGAGAGCACTATGTGATGTTGACGATCCAGTAGAGAGTGAGAGTTGCAGAAGTATAAGCACGAACGATTGAAGCTTCAATATGAAGCTTTAACGGATTTTTGAAGAGAGCGTGCGGTGAGGTATGGGAGAGTGAAGAAGTTGAAGAGGAGATGAAGGTGAGGTATGAAGAATGAAAAATTAATGGTGTAGATTGAATGGTTCTGGAAGCTGAAAATTGGTGGTGAGCCCTTGAATGATCGTGGAGAAGAGGTTATATAGGGATTGGGGGAAGATGAAAATTGTTAAAGGTTGATGATTCTCAATCATAGGATCTGGGGAGTTAGTTATGAGATGGAGGGTTAGATTTGAATTGGTTATATTACTGTTAGAGTTTGTTACTCTTTTTGTTAATTGGTTTTAGAGATTAGGAAGTTGGTTAGAAAGTTGTTAGTGTTAGTTAGAATTCTGTTAGAAAGTTTGGTATAGAAATTGGCTTAGGAAAAAAAAAGTTTGGAGGTTTGTGAATCTGTTAGAAGTTTAGAGGGTTGTTTAGAAAAAATTTAAGTTTGACAGTTAGGAAAGTTAGTTGTTAATTCTGTTGGATAATGCTTGGTTATCATGAGTTTAATGCTAAAAACTGTTAGTTGCGTTGAAACTGAGAATGCAGAAGTTGTTGTGTTGATACATTCTTTTTTTGGTCTGTGCAGAAAAATTGATGAGATATCGAAAATTCAGAGATTCACGAATGAAGCGTAGTGATGATTGATTAAAGATCTGATTTGAATCAATAGTGGAGATTGAGGATGATGCAAAATATGGTTGATGTTGAGATGCTGCAAAGATGATGCAGAAGAAGGTTATGATGACGGAGATCACGGAGACTGTGATGATGGAGATCACAAAGACATTGCTGTTGATTATGGTTAAGTTGGTAAGTAAAGAGTTAGTTGGAAATTTCTGTCACAATTATGTTTGGACTGTTATGGGAAATTAGAAATTCTGTTACAATTTTGTTTTTTCCTTTTCCCAGCCTTAGCTTGCGCTTTTCTTCGTAAACTATCCTAGTCAAATTTTCCCTTCCTACACCATAACATCCAGCATTTGTTACTCTGAAACCATAGGCTGATGGGTTGTTTATGATGTCTCCAAAAATACCATAAACATTTACATAGATGAATCTTGCATCAGGAAATTGGTTATTGAATTGATCAACAAGAGATTTTAATCCATTGTTGAATAACTGATTTGCAGAATTGATTCTAGCTACACATGTTCTACCATCTGGGTTGTTTTGAGCCAATTCACTTGGACTGCAACCTATTTGACCAACTCCAAATAATGCCATTTTCCTTGCTCCATAGTTATATAGAATCTTGAGTTGTTGAGCATATGCTTGAAGAATAACATTAGCATACTGTTGTGGTGTGAATTGTCTACTGCTAGAATAGATTTGAGGCATGAAATAGTTGTTAAGGTAATCATTACTTCCCAATCCAATTGTATAAATGCATTTGCTTAGATAATTTGCAGTAGTATTCTCATCTCCAAAATTATTTACTAACTGAGACATTGTCCTTTGGTAATTTACCACTTGACCTCTAAAACTAATTCTTTTTCCTAATTGTTGTCCAGTTTCCTCTCTAATTCCAGCAGCTGTCGAAGCATAATTGACTCCTCTTAGTATGTCTCGGCCTCTAGCCGATGCATACAAAGATATGTGACCGTTGAATCCCAATTTCTCAGTAATTACATCAACAGAAGTTTTTCCATTAGAAAACCTTCCAGTTGGTCCGCCAGGAAAGTCAATTCTGTAAGGTGCATAATTAGCTTTTGCAATTGAAGTGAGCTGGTTGTTGTTACCATTATCAACCAAAGAGTCTCCAAATATTAAATAGCAAGGTACTTGTTGTGCACTTCCAATTCCAAAACTTAAAACTAACACCACTAGTACTATCCTTATATTCATTATAGAGTGTGTTGTGTGTCATTGAAGAAAGAAAATGGGGCAAGTAGTTATTATGGGACATGGAGTGTGAGAGTTAGAATGAGAAAGATGAAGTTGGATGATGTGGACCTATTCTTTTGGCATGATTGCTCGTATTGACTTGGATTTTTTTGTATGAATGTGCAGGCCATGAACTTGGAATGAAGAGAATTGCAACGTGAAGAGCATGAAGTTGAAAGGTTAGCCATGATGATGGAAGCTTGGAGATTATGAAAGTTTTGGGGGCATGAGGACACATTAGAGATTAGACCCAAGATAGGTTTGTGGTGTAAATGGCTTGATGTAATCTTCTTGATATTTGTGATGTATTTGAAATGATAATGTAAACAATGACCTTCGATGTAATGATATCCTCTTCAATCATTTCTCTTCTTTCAATTTAGAATTCACATCTTCAAACCTCATTGATTTTTGCCTTTTGCTCTTGAATTTCTACTTAAAATTATGTCTTAAAGATGCTTGAAAACCTTGAATGATATTGCATTATGGTCACTTGAACGGTGAATGAAATTTGGATTTGTGATCTTGAAATTTGAAATAGCCTTGAACAATTTTTGAACACCCTTATGCATGCATAAACTTGATATTTTCTCTAAATGCCAAATAACTTGTTTCTCAAGAAATCCACATGAATCCTTTCCTAACCTTGCATGCTTGGTAAGTGAACTTTAATCCAATTCTTGAACAAAACTTGAATTCACATGATATTTCTCTTGAAATAATCTAAAGCAAACTCCGTGATCAGAATTCCACCTTCCTGAATGAACCCTAAAGCAAATGACCTATATCATAAGCATGAAGCGAGCCCAATATTCAACTGGTGACCATGAACCAAATGGACCCTAACATCACCCTATGTCCTTCGCGAGAGAATGGATCCAACACGTTGATCCCTATCAACCTTGTGTAACAAATAATAAGAGAACCAAACTGCCTTGGTCTTAATGAATTTACAATGCCATCATTATATCACGCCTCATTATCTCATGAACCTCCATTAGAGATGCTGATAAACCTAAGTATTATAGGATATAAATTCTAAAATTCCACGCAAAGCTTTTAGGTTTTGATCTTTAAAGCATTGAAATGAAATCCTGATTCGTGAAGAAGGTCCAACTGAATCTTCTTTTATAGAATGGAGTAGTTGCCCACATGACTAGAGATTCAAGCAATGATTTCCTTCTGATTTGTCAAAGATATATCAATTGAAACCCTGGTTATTCATGGAAGATATCCCCTGATGATAGCCTTGCCTGATAATCACAACTTCCCAGAGAAACCTCTCTTGAATGGTTCATGATTTAGAGAAATAAACCCTAACTAAAGGATGACATTGAGCACAAAGAGATAATGAATGCCTGATTTAGTATCCCTTAGATGACCCCGTAGAACAATTTGGAAGTGAACATGGGAATACCGAAAGAAATATGACCAAGATGGTCATGACTTAGAAAACCTAATGAACCTCAGTTGATGAAATGCTGACAAGTACAAACTTGGTGGAAAAATGCTGACAGGCACAACCTTGATGGAGAATACTTTGATTCTTGTCTCGAATGTATCTGAATGAGTAATAACCCCTTAATATTGAAGAGGACAGAACCCTCAATAATCATAGGTTTCAATCCCAATTCCACACTTTACTGCTGGAAGGATAATCAGGAGAATCACGCCTTATTGGATATGAACACCTCGTCCATTGCGAAACCCTAATATCGCACAGCTAATGAACTTTGAACCTCAAGCGCCCTGCTGAATGCAAATGTATGTTAATGACCTAATGGAATATATACAGATGAATGCAAGAGTCTAAGCCAGATAGAAGAAAAAATTATGAGGGAAAATTTTGGGGTGCAACAGCTGCCCCTATTTAATCTCCTTCAACCTGAAGGTGAGATTGGCGTCAGCCTTTCGAACTTTCAGGGTGGAATAAGATTAAATACTAAAATAACCCGAAAATTTGCGCTCCGGAGTCAGTCAGGTATACATTATATTTTTGGTTTTCTGTATTTTCTATTATTTTTTTTTCTTTTTGGATTACCGTAGTTAACTGAGTAAATCTCTTGGATGTCAGGTCAAAGTTAGACATGAAAAAAGAAGAGACCGACCGGAAGAGGCTCTGACGAAGGAACACCAATCAAAGGAGAACCTTACTAAGAAAAGGGACCTAGCGAATGGGACTCCTGATAGATGATACCAGCCGAAGATGGATTTTAACAAATGATACCAGCCGGAGATGGATTTTAACGAAGGATACCAGCCAAAGCGGGATTTTAACGAAGGATGCCAGCCGAAGCGGGGTTTTAACAAAAGATACCAGCCGAAGCGAGGTTTTAAAGGATACCTGCCGGAGCGGGGTTTTAACAAAGGGTACTAGCCGAAGCGGGGTTTTGAAAGGATACCTGCCGGGGCGGGGTTTTAACAAAGGGTACCAGCCGAAGCGGGGTTTTGAAAGGATACCTGCCGGAGCAGGGTTTTAACAAAGGGTACCAGCCAAAGCAGGGTTTTGAAAGGATATCAGCCGAAGCGGGGTTTTAAAAGATACCTTCCGGAGCAGGATTTTAACAAAGGGTACCAGCCGAAGCGGGGTTTTGAAAGGATACCTGCCGGAGCGGGATTTTAACAAAGGGTACCAGCCGAAGCGGGGTTTTAAAGGATACCTGCCGGAGTGGGATTCTGAAGGATAAAAGTATGCATATCTGGTCAGATTTAGATACACAAGAGTGAAATTGAGCATCAAGAAACAAATGTTTAGAGTTGATAGTGAACACAGGAACGAGACTAACCGAAGTAAGCCCCAATAAAAAGGACGCATTCGCCTAAATAAGGACGCCAGACAACTGGACTTTGAAGAGACACTGAAGGACTCTTAACATAAAAGGTTAGCTAAGCTACAAAAGGAGGACCCGACTAACGCGAATAAACCAAAATAGGGAACCGACTAAGCAGGACCTTTAAAGAGCACTGATCGAAGGTGAACTCTAAAAGAGAAAGAGACTGGTCAATGCAGAATCTAATAAGGATTGCCAAAACACGTTGGGCTTTTGATAGGTTGCAAATACGCAAGAACTACAAGATCCCTGAGGCCAAAGGCGGGGTGTAATTCTTCAAGAGTGGCAATTATCTGAATTATCACACACCAAGTATGGATACTCAAACATTTGAGAAGCAAGAAAGGTTATACACCAACTCTTACCCACACTCTAACGGAGAAGCAAACACGAGTAAAATAACCAAAGTCTTGCAAAGGCAAGCGCAAATCACAAACTTACTGGGGAAATGGAGAAATACCAAAGACCCGACTGGTGGTGAATCAAAACAAATTCTGATGGGGAAACATCATAGAATTACCATAGGCTTATTGTGGAGACAAATCAAATCTGAGCACATAACAAATCTGGTTACTACAAGTGGACACAATTGGCTTATACTCATGCATGTTTGAATTTTTTATAGCGTGATGCTCCATACAATGGAAATGCTACGCGTTTTGGTAGATGCAATGTAATGATGCATGTTTAATAATGCACTGGAAAACATATCAATAATCGGCTGTTGAGAAGACAAAGAACTTCTGAACGATTATTCTTGTACATCTAATCTTCTGTAGAGAAAAGGCAATTTATAGAGACTTACCAGTTCTTTATATGTAAGATACTCATCACACAAATTTGTATCAGATTCACACCTTCCAATCATAGCTACATTCTTTGTGTTTTCAACACTTTTAACATTACTAACCTTCCCGATGTCATAAGAAATGTTCTGAATATCTGGTTCTGATCTCATCTTGTCCAGTAACTGGTTAAATGTCTTATCAAGAAGCCTAAAGCCTTTTGACAGTCCTGCATGAGAGTCAAGAACACTAGCACTACTCTCGCTCTTCTTCTCATATCTTTTATTCATTTTAAACTCAAAAATTTTAAGAGAGCCAATAAGTTCCTCCATTTTCATGCTTCTGACATCTTGAGCCTTCTCAATGGTTGTAACCTTAATGTCAATTTTTTTAGGTAAAGATCTAAGAACCTTCCTTAAAAATGTTTCTTCTAGCATTCGGTCTCTTAAGAAGCTTGATGCATTATCCACTTCAAGAATATTCATATAAAAATCCTGAACAAATTCATCATCATTCATCTTTAGACTTTCTCACTTAGTACTGAGGAGTTGTAGCCTTGACATATTTACTTTGGATGTACCTTCATGAGTTGTCCTCAGGATTCCCCAAGCATCCTTGGCTATTGTACGAGTATTGATCAACCTAAACATACTTTTGTCAGCTCCATTAAATAAGGCATTCAAGGCTTTGAAATTTCCAATGGCTTCTTTGTCATCATTTTCGTCCCAGTCTTCTTCAGGTTTAATGGATTCCTTTCCCTCTTTGTCCTTCACCACTGGATGTACCCATCCTTTTAAAACAACCTTCCATGCTTTAATGTCCATAGCTTTCAGAAAAGCTACCATTGTGACTTTCCACCAATCATAGTTTGAGCCATCCAATGAATGTGGCTTGTTGTAGAATCCTCCTTCCTTCTCCATAGTGCCAGAAAATATATATCCTGAGAGCTCACCTAATAAATAGACCAGGGTGGCTGCTCTGATGTCAATTGAAATTCTGGCACGCACAATATATTAGAAGTTAAAACTGATGTGTCAACAACACACAATGTCAAGACAAATATTATAACATCTGTTGACAGTACAACAACAATAGAAACAATGCAGAAAAAAATAACTTTCAGAAAAAAGAGAACACAAGGATATGTTAACCCAGTTCGATGTCAACTCATCTACTCTGGGGGCTACTGAGCGGTCACCAACTCTACTCTGTTTTCATCAGTTATTTGGTAAAAATCCATCAAATCGGTAACACTTTGGTTTGTCTTTTTATCGTTTTGTTTAAGATATTTCATATTTCACAACTTTATCTTTGCATGGTTTTAATTTGAATTTTATGTCAAGTATAGTCTTTTGATGGCTTTTGATGTCTTGGTTTGGTAGTTGTTGGTGATTTCAGGTGCAAGT